TACATTGGGAACTTTTGCTGCCAGCAGTGGAAAACCAGACAAACTGAAAATGCCCCTCTATAGAAAACCTGATACTTTGACATTTTAAAAAAATATTTTATTATAGTAAAAATGAAACAAAATATTTGCCATTTTTTCCATGTACAATTCAGGGACATCTGTTGCATTCATCACAAAGAACCATCACCACTAACCATTTCCAAAATGTTCGGTCATAACAGAATTTTGTTATTGTTATGTGCCGTTGAGTTGGAGCCAACTCAGAGCAACCCCCTCCTTGGGTTTTCGAGGCAGTATCACTGCGGAAGTAGATTGCCCAACCTTCCTTTCGAGGAGTGGCTGGTGGGTTTGAACCACCAGTGTTCTGGTTAATAGTCACATGCATTAAGCACTACACTACCAGAGCTCCTATAACAGAATCTTAGTGCCCCTAAGCAAAGACTCCCCCTTTCCCTCTCCCACCCATCCCTGATAATTAGTAATAAGCACTGGTTTGTATACATTTGCTCGTTTCATAGAAGTAGGATCATACACATTTTGTCCTTTTGTGATTAATATTTCACTCAGATAACATTTTCAAGATTCATCCTTGTTGTAGCATGGTCCAGAACTTCATGTCTCTTTATGACTGCGTATTACGCTATTTTATGTATGCACCACATTTTATTTATCCATTCATTTGCTGATGGTAAAATTTTTTATTAAAATAACAAGAACAACAGCAAAACAACTTATCCTTTTTAAATGCATAACCAAGCTTGCAAAGATATAAGGATAATCTCCAAGGTCTAAGAACTAAGAACAAACTAAAAATCAGAATGGGAAAAGCATGCATCAATACCTGAACTTCTCTGGGAGAGTTTCCAATCTTGTTAACTAAGAGGCTTGGTTTTACCACCTATCTGAAGATAGATGAAATCTCAAGCCAAAGCTGATATTGGAATTGAGATCCAGTAAAGTCAGTTACCTTGAAGTGCTACACTTTTAGTGAAAGGACAGACTGGAAAAATTCAGTCCCTGAGATTGAAAAAAACAAGGAAACTTCTCCAGGTCAGCCGAAAGAAGTTTTACACTCAGAATTCATTATCAAGTGCTTGTTTTTTCATATTTGTATGAGATTCAAATATAAACTGTTTGCATGGAGCAGTGACTTAGACTAGTAATTTCCTTGGTGTGCCAGCAGGCAGCAACAGACTCAGAGGCTAACCAAAGAGATAGATTTACAACTGAGGCTATACAGGATTCTCACAGACTAATTACAAAGAATGTTGTAGGAAGATACCTTCATTATCCAGTATTGCAAATCACGTGAAGAAACAAACCACCTGGAACCAATGTCAGCATCCAAACAGTAGGCAGAATTAGATTTCCCAGTACCTCAAAAAAAATGTTATTGAATTGAACCTCCAAAGTATAAGTGTGTTTTCCAAAAGTTTAAAAGATTAGAAACTTACAAATAAGTAGTTGCTGTGAAGGGAAAAAAGGATTGATCTGATAAAGATCTGATAAAATTTCAAGAAATGAGAACTAAATGACAAGTAGTATCTTCCTAAAGTCATCTAACCCCAGATACTTTGACTCGTCCTTTAGTTAACTTTTTTGGGAAACAAAATTTTTAGGAGAACTCGGGATGACAATCGCTCTGCTGCCTTGGATCTGAGTCTCAGTGGACAGAATAGGTGACTTGTAGATAGTTGCAGGTTGGGAATCAAAGGGATAAAAGGGCATTGTCGAACTTTGAGTAAGGGCAGTCTTACAGTGACAATCCACAAGGAGAAGGAGCAAGACCTTGAGAGAGGAAATTCCAAGGCAACTGGTTTATGCTACAATTTATACGTTATAAAAATAGAAGTCTTTTTCATTGAGGACAAGGAGATAATTTTAAAGATGAGGAGAATGTTGTAGGAAATAATTTTTTCAGCTATGAATTATTTTAAAGCATATAGTAATTAAGAAAGTATGGTATTAGTGCAGGAATAGACTATTGAGATTACATATAGACTACAGAATAGAACTACTTATGTGAAAACTTGATTTATGACAGAAGTGAGAAAGAGATGGACTGTTTATAAAGTGACACTAGAATTTCTTACCAAATAAATTCCCAGATATGGTCAATTAAAACAAACATTTTAAAAAGAAAAGTAGGGCCTAAGTATCTGGGAAGATTATCGAGGACACAAAACCCACTTACCATGAAGGAAAAGATAAATTGAACAACATTGAAGTAAATACATCTGTAAACAAAAAGACATCATAAACAAAGTGAAAAATACAAACCACAGAATGAGAAAGGATTTGTAATTCATAAAACCAGTAAATAGTTAGGATCCAGAATATTTGAAATTAAGAAATGAAGGGTATGATTGGAGCAATATATTTCTTGTGGGAGGGTAAATTGATACAGAAAAGTAATTTTTAAATATCTATGAAAATTGAACATGCCTATAAGCTATGAACCAGCAATTCTATTGCTAACCATATATCTTAGTTATATAGTACTTCCATAACAGAAATATTACGAGTGAGTGAGAACATAAATTTATTTTCTCATAATTGAGCCAAAATGGGCTTGACTGCATCAGTTCTTTCTGTAGGCTTTTCTCTTACTTTGTAGTGTCTCCTGCAATTCTTGGCATACCTTTGCTGCAGACAGGTCTTCACATGGCATTTGTGTTTGTCTGTGTGTCTATATTCCTTTTTATAACTTACAAGTGATTAGATTTAAGACCCCCACCCTCATCTGTTGTTACTAGTTACCATCTGGTCAATTACAGCTCAGTGGCAAACCCCATGTGTACAGAGTAGCACTGTCTGTAGGGTTTTCAAAGCTGTGACCTTTATGAAGCAGATCATTTTTTTGGGTTGACTCTGGGGGAGTTCAAACCAACAGCCTTGTCGTTAATAGTCTTGAGCTTAACCATTTTTCTATCTGGGGACTCCATAACCTCATTAATATAACAAAAACGCCTATTTCTAAACATAAACATTTTACAAATTGAGGGGTTAGGATTTCAACATTTTTTGGGGGACACAATCCAGTCTACAATACTTTATAATATAGTAGATGTTGCTAATAATTAATTTTGTTCCTCAGATACCTTTTGGTATTCTGGTGAAGTCTAGAATATTTTTTAAGCCCTTATAACGAAATACATAGGGCTGTAATAAAAACAATTCTATCAAAATAGTTACAAAATATTTTTTGGGGGGTGATTTTATGTGGTTTTTTACAAATGCATACTAATCAGATCTAGTTGATTTTCATAGTAATGACTGTAAATGGTATCTTGAGGTTTATTGGTGACAAGTCACAGGCATTGCTAATTATTACTAGATGTGTACATTCATAATTGAAGTTAGTTTAAACCGACTGCTGTCGAATCAGGTCTGACTCATAGCGACCCCTCCTTGGGTTTCCGAGGCAGTATCACTACAGAAGTAGATTGCCCAACCTTCCTTCTGGGGAGTGGCTGGTGGGTTTGAACCACCAGACTTCTGGTTAGCAGTCAGATGCCTTAGGCAGTGCACCACCAGAGCTCCCTCAGTTAGGTTAGTGGGGGAAGAAAAGATTCATTTATTTTCATACAAGTTTACAAACTCATTTAAAAGGGGTTTGTGGACCCCAGGTTAAAAATCTGTGCCCTGGAGACATTTTTATACATGAGCTCAAGGAGGTTAACACTGTGACACCGTTGCAATATTATAATAACCAAAAGCCAAACACATTGCCGTCGAGTAGGATCTGACTCATAGTAACCCCTCCTTGGGATTCCAAGGCAATATCACTATGGAATTAGATTGCCCAATCTTCTTTCTGAGGAGTGTCTGGTGGGTTTGAACCACCAGCCTTCTGGATAGCAGTCAAATGACTTAGGCACTAAGCCACCAAAGCCAGAGGTTCTCAAAAAAAGGGGGGCGGGGCAGGTCTGAACATGCATCAGTAGGAAATTGTAGACATTGTGATATAGTGAGATAATGAACCAATCAGGATTACAAAATACCTTGTAATGTCTCCTTGTATACCTTAATGGGTGATCTCAAATAATATGGAGTGGGGGGGGGAAACAAGCTTTTAAAGAATACATGCTCTATAATATCATTTTATAAAATTATAACATTTAATAATAAACACATGTGGAAATGGTATGTCCAACTTCAGGTACTTGTTTTTCAAAAACAGGAGTAGGGGCAGGGTAGTCTATCTAGACACATAAACAGAAAAAAAAAAACCAAACTCACTGCCATCGAGTTGGATCCAACTCATAGCAAACAGTAACTCTACAGAAGTAGACAGCCCAGTCTTCCTTCTGAGTGGCTGGTGGGTTTGAACCTGTAATGTTTAATTATTTAACATTAAATAAACATGTGTGATGAATGTATTGTTGAATGCCTAGAATATTTCATAAAAATATGGATTACATCCTTTAGCAGCATATGCCAGCTGGAAATAGTTTTTATTTTAATATACAGAAAATTCAGACTTAGTGTATATGCAGTGCTGTCAAGGGAAGAATAACATATTAAGTGCTTTATCCCCTTTATCTCAGATGAAAAGTGAATTAACCTATGACGTGCCAGTAGTTTAAACATCTGATGAAAACATACTTCGTAGATTATTTATTTCACACAACAGTCATTGTAAAGACACCCATATTCATTCCATGATACTAGATTTCATTATCTCTAGCATTAGGTGGCTTATTTTGGAAGTGGCAAGTTAATTGCACCTTAAAAATTGAGACTGTATCTCAGGTACACATTAATACTAAAGGTACTAAGATAATCTCAAATGTGACTTTATAACCCTAAGTTTATGTAAACACATTTTAGCTTTTTCTTATGTTCTGATGGTAGGCTGATTACTATTATTAATAATGAATATTCCTGTTTTATTTCAACATTATTGATCATTGTACTTTAGTAAATGTTTAACATCTAACTGCATGACTGTTGTTTAAGCCTTTTAAACCAGATTCTGTTTTGGTTTGTGCCTTTAGGATCGAAAGTTAACGAAGTCTGAGAGGCAGAGATTTAAAGAAGAAGCTGAAATGTTAAAGGGTCTTCAGCATCCCAATATTGTTCGATTCTATGATTCTTGGGAATCTACAGTAAAAGGAAAAAAGTGCATTGTTTTGGTGACTGAACTTATGACATCTGGCACACTTAAAACGTAAGTCCATTAATATATATAAAGTTATGTATGAGAGAACTGAAATTTCAGACCCCACTCTTAACTTTTGTTGTCCAGCCTACTAAGGAGGGAACTATTCCTACCATGAGCATATTAGTACATTTTCCTGCCGACAAAGTTTTGTGAATAAATGAGTTGATAATTATTTATTTTAAGTATTGAAATGAGAGGTATTGCAGAATAGTCATAGCTATTTTAAACCATACTGGTTTGTGTTTCTAAAATTTGAGTGGCCGACTCGTCGGCAAACAACAACAACAAAGGCATCAGAAAGCAGATGACAAGGTAGCCCTCTAGTGGTTAAAGTGAGGTTAAAACTTACTGAAATAAAAAAATTATAACCTTGTATTAGCTAATTTTTGTTACATCTCTGCAATGATTGTATCAAATGCTTTCATTACTGTGCTGTGACAGTTATTCCTAGAAATATTTGTAGTTTCATTTTCTGTAGCATCAGAAATTAAAGGCAAAGCATAATCTCTTTCAAGGAACCCAAAAAAGATCAAATGCAGAAATTTCTTGTTCCTAGTTATAAAGAGCTCTAGGTACCAGTTGGAGTATACCAGATCTCTTAGAGTATCTATTTGTACTCAGAGAAGAAGCTAGTATAAATTGTATAGTATAATTTCAGAGGAACTGGAATTTTTTTTTTT